CGAAGCAGAGGATTAAGAAAAACCATTTTTTAATGAACTAGAGGCATGCATAGAAGGAGCTACAGAAAAACACTAAGATCTAACTCAGATGTTTGCTCAGTGTAGGTAGAATATACTCGACACCTGTGGCATGGTGTATACTTGTTATTGGTACAACTGGGTCTTTTTGCATATATTTTTAGAAAACACTAATATGTGCAATAGACACAGTCTTAAACCAAGCCTGAATGGGGAGGGGGAGCGAGAAATTTCTGTTCAGTGCAGACATTTAAAGTGGCGGACTGTAAAGTGTAATGAACAGAAATTTAAAAACAGGATAATTTGAAACGACTTGCAGTAAATTAAAACTGCGTATATTATATTGAAAATACTTGTATATAACACATATGGAATTATAATATTGATAACATAATCAACCTTAACTTATTTAAATAACTTGCTGGGCTTCTGGAAGTAAGAATGTAGTACGATACGCAACAAAATTCGATTTTTCACTAGTTTTGTTATTGCTGCATTTATTTTATAAACATCATAATTATTCTGATTTAATCCAAAGCGAAATGAAGACTAATGTAGGAAGTAACTCTTGAACCAAGCCTTCAAAGACTAATTTCACACTATGCAGGGTAAGGAACAAAACACGGAATCTAGCACAAGTAATAACTGAAGTAAGTCGGTCAGTCACTCATGAATGAGATTAATCTTTCCTTGAAGCTACAAAGGGGGCACGAGACAAGGGTAAAGTAGAGCATTATGTGCAATACTTTCGGAAGAGAGGGTGATGTCGTTTGAGTAGATTCCATGGCATAAACGATATGTTTCGTCATGTATATTTTATGACATAAGATTTAAGATAGATGCTTCAGGTTGGTTATAACAATCCAACTATCAGTACCTTAGTTTTCATCGTTATCATAATGGCTGTCATAATCATCATTGCACATTTTGTCGAATACACACTATAACTCGTTGTTTAACATGTTATGCTTATACTTGACAAGTTAATATACGACTTTCAATCCGTCTAATTGCATCGTTTGGACCAACAAACTGCACGCCCGATTTCTGGTAACACCCAATAAGCGGTTCCAAGTCGAAAAGATTTTCACAGAATCATAAAGTAGTCAAGATTGGTGTCTAACTGAATGCATTTTCTTTAAGGTAATTGCCGCAGCTAATCGGGCATTAGCGGCAGTTTCAGTATATTTCTTGAACTCACAAAACAAGAGATCGACAAAGTATTACGTGGTTAAAAACTCGAAATACGTACCCCTGCTTTTTAGGCGAAAAGTGCTTCAACTTTCACCTGGAATCGACTATCCAGGAAACGTAAAATGGGAGTTGGCGCTGGCACTGCTCGCTGCTTGGGTTCTCTGCTACTTCGCTATATTCAAAGGCTGCAAATGGACCGGAAAGGTAGATTCACCTCCATGAGTCACCAAGAAAGACGATGCTCACTGTTTGCCATAGGTTCTTTACTTTACCGCGTTGTTTCCATACCTCTTACTCACCATTCTCCTCATCAGAGGCCTCACGCTGCCCGGAGCAGCCGAAGGTCTCAAGTTCTACCTTTATCCTGATTTCTCAAAACTCGGAAATTCGAAGGTGATCAATAGTAACAAGCAACGATTTGTTCTTTACCAGCTAATCGGATATCCGGGCATTTAAGATTTGGATCGATGCGGTGACGCAAATCTTCTTCACCTACGGTCTGGCACTTGGGGCAATCGTCGCACTCGGCAGCTATAACAAGTACCACAACAGCATCGTGAAGTAAGTCTGAGTTAAAACAACCTATTGTTGATTTTCAAGGACACTTTTGCAGACAGGCCTCGTTCATATGTATTCTGGACAGCTCAACGAGCTTCTTCGCTGGCTTCATCGTATTCTCCTTCATAGGATTCATGGCCAAAGAACAAGGCCAGCCGGTCAGCAAAGTTGCAGAATCAGGTAAACCGTTTGGCTTCTTCTGCTCTAGAATCTGAATGTCCGAAGTAAGTTTGTCATTTAATTGAAATCTCTATACATTTTCCTTAAATCTATGCCCACGCACTAATGAATTTAATAAGTTCTCCCAAAACAATATTTTCATGTTTGCTTTCAGGTCCTGGTTTATTATTTCGTGTTTATCCGTCAGGACTACTACAGCTACAGGGAACAGCGTTTTGGTCGGCCTTGTTTTTCTTTACTATAATTCTGATTGGAATTGATTCTCAGGTAATTGATAGTCATGTTTCTGTAGATAAAGTTTCATAATAACAGCCATAAAAATTAAAGATTATTCGTCACCTTACAAGATTTCTTGCAATCAGCTTAAATTTTACCATTATATGCCATTTCATTAACTGTACATCTTCATGGTTACTGTCTTGTGTATATAATAGCATGTGTGAAACTATTTTCGTGTGTCGGCCAGAATACCGCAGATCGCTTCTGCTACGGTTCGATTCTCAACGATCTGCGGACCAGCTCTTGTCAGCTACTGAGAAACATTGAAGTCTGCATGGGTACTAGACTGACTTGAGCCAAGCTTACCGCCAGTGTTTGCTGTGAATCTGCAGTACCTCCAATTTCGACTGTAGTGTGAAAACGAGTATACTAAAAAGCTGTACTCTCCAGGAGGTTGATACTTAATCAACTACCACGACGTCCCCAACAACCTCATTGCAATTCCGCCACCGTCACTTCCTATCGATTGGAATAGAGACGTCCCTGACTCCTGCGGCTGGGTTGGGTTTCCCAACAGAATTTTAGCTGCAGCAATGGCAAAGCAGCCGCTGCTCCTCCAGATCGAGAAGTGTCATAGCTGCGATCGTTTGGACACATTTTATGAATGCTATAAGAAGGAAAAAACATCTGCTGCTTCCTCGACCAATCAGACGAAGACCCGCGGGACGGGCTAAGAATAACCTGTGGCTATTATCTCAACAAACTCTGCTCCAAACTCTGGTTATCTTCTGTTGAAGCTCAAATGGCGGTCTAAGATCAGGAACGTTGGAGACAGAGTCCGATACGCCTGGCCTCCACGACCCAAAAGGATAGGCGGTCATATTGATTGACTGACTGCAAAATCATCACCAAGGACAATAGGTGCTCGCTCTCATGATATGTTAACATACATAATTCCATAACGATGGCTTCATAGTTGGTCTGCACGGTGACCCACAATTAATATGTCTCTGCTTATGGCCGTAGTTTCCTTATTCTAGTTGACCGATTGGATAGATGAAACCAATCACTAACACCCTAGCCCAATGTTTCATTCATTTCTTTGAAGAAAATATGGCACAGATATTCTGAGTTAGCTAGCAAAATTGGCAGCTTTCTGATTAAGCAGGAAAATTAAGGTTATTCTTTGAACTATTGATATCGGATTTGCACTACGTCAATTCTAATGCCTTCGGATCGAGAAGCATTATGGGCTGAGAGAATTCATTTTACACTCGTTCCAGTTCGTTGACATGATGCATGAGTCTAGAGCCCCTAAAATTTTCTGGACCTGTAGCCTGTTTCAGTTCACCACTGAGCGACTACAAACAAGAAGTGGTGCAGTGTTTCGGCATACACCGACTGCCATCCCTACTACAGTACCCCAACATAGTTGTATTGTACGTGAATTTACAATTTCTACCGTGTGAATCCGAAATGTGCAGCTGAAAGGTAGGATTTATACCAGTAGGGAAATTGAAAGGCTGTCAATCTTGGAGTTACGACAAGCCATCGGGTTATATTTCTGATTAGCTAAAATGATATTTCAGACTTTATTATGAGCCGTCACAAAGTGCCTCTCTAACCAGGAAAAGCGATTTTTTCCACATGTGGTGATGCCGTTTGATGCAAACTCTGATGACACAGTCGAAATTTCTTTATTACAGTACTTAGTCATTTTTTACGTCAGGGATGCCGTTATTAGCCTGCCGGAATCGCCACTGAAAGTTTGCATGTACCTCAAACCTGTTCGCAACATTAAAAGGAACCCTGCTCACTCCTAAGACGGTTTCTTATAAAAAATACATTTTATGTGTGAAAATTTACACGTAGCACGATCTAATATGGATATGGCTTGAAAAAAAATATTTTTTCAGTTCTGCACAATGGAAGGATTTTTCACGGCGATCATCGACGAATGGCCGATGTTCCTGCGAAAGAAATACCGAAGAGAAATATTCATTCTGATAATATGCATAATTTCATATCTCATTGGACTCAGCACAGTGACAGAGGTACATACTCGAATAACAAAGTGTGTCTGTTTCTATACTAAATTTCTGTGTGCATAATTGACAATGCGATTGTGAGTGGGTCTGGATAGTGGAAAGCATATATGAATCGGTTCGTACGAAAATAACAAATACTCTAAGAACGTTCTAAGCATCTGGAAGCAAGGGGTAGCGCTTTTGCACTGACTGAGG